CCGCCATGGTGCAATTCGGGACACCCTGAGTCCAGAACCCTCCGCGTCCCCAGTGTCCCTCATGCCCTCCTTGGAAGCCTGGAGGGTCCCAGTTAGCAGTAAGGACTCCTCAGCGTCCTGGATCCGGAAACACCGGGTCGCCCCGACGACTACGGCCACCGGCCTCTCTTGCGAAATGTCTCATTCTTGGAGAAAAGGTATCCGCGGAACCTTCCCCAGTTCAGCTCGATTCGCAGGCCTGATGTCAATATTTTGGAGCAAAGGACGCCCCACCAAAGTCCCCCCACCTCGTCCAGACAGCCCTGGTTCTTGAACCCCGTGGCCCCCAAGCTGTGCCTGCGGAAATCTGGAGGCCCCTCGTGCACAGTTTTAGCACCTAATTGTTCCTAACTGGCTTTCTCCCGCGGCTTTCCTGCCGCCCTCACTGGCACAGTTGTTGCAATGACATCAGGGGCCTCACGGAATAATTAGCACAAAGCAAGCCTTCCGTTTGGCCAAACCGCCCGGACAGCTCGGCCCCGCTGCCCCCGACCCTGCACGGGGGAACCTCAGCAAACCCGGGAGGCCAGACCCAGCGGAGACTGTAAGAAACCTTCACTCTTCCTTCCCAGACTCTTCTGAGACAGCTTTTTATCCACAGCTGAGCCACCGCCCTCCCGTTTGAATCGGCCTTTCCGGAAGGCTCAAAAGCTCAGCCCCGCCAGGCTCCGTACGGGGAGCTTGGGAAACTTTCAGCCTGTTCCCCGAAAAGCGGTCCCCAAACGGTCCCTCCGACCCACCCACCCAGCAAGGTGGGCCACACCAAGTTTCACTCCGTGTGCAATCCCTGCGCCCGTGGCCTTCCTCCCCGCACAAGCACAACCCCGGGCGGTCCAGACGGCACGACTGCACCCCGGAGGGCCCCTCCGGGGCTCCTCCCTCTCCTTGGGGTGCCCTACTCGGTCCTCAGAGGGGAGACGCAAACCAGGCGCAGGAGACAGCAAATTCTGCACCCACCCCCTCACCCCCCCACCAAGGGCATTTTCCAAAACCAGAGTCCTATTTAAACGTGGAAAGAAAGCTGCTCTCCCTTCAGCAGGGGTGGGGGGCGGGTGGGTGGAAATAACATTAGGATGAATAAAAGTGATGAATTAGCCGCTGCGTGAAGCGATAATAAATCAGTCTTGGGGTGATTCACGATCAATTCGAATTAGTCCTGAATATGCTAAGGAGAGCTCAGTGCACTGGTTAAACACTTATTTCTTCATTAAGGACCAGTCACTGATTTCTTTCACAAACGCTGTAATCTGATTTCCTTTTGATTTCCATTACAGACAGTGAATAATGACATTTAATTTAGCTCTGCGCCATAAACCCAAAGATATTTGTTGTAATTAAATTACCGCCTGGTCCTGCGCGTGGTCTCATAACTTTCGATTATAACCCTGACAGCTGGGCGATACGAGGTCCCAGTACACGACTAAAAATAAAAGGTTAATAAAGACCAGCCTCCGTAGGATCCCCAATTTATGTACAGCAGATTTCCGCACTAAATTGAACCTCGACTGTCCTAACGGCACGGGACGGGCTGTGCCCGAAAGGGACGACCCAGAGGGTTCAGGCACAGGAACAAAACACAGATCCTTCCTGACCCCCTGCCTTCGCCGCCCGCCCCCTCACCCTGGGCGCGCTGACCCATTCGTTTTAACTAATTGATTTTTACCAGCCCCTTCTCCTCTGGTGTTGATCCCCTGACTCTGTTCCCCGTGGCCCGCAGAAAATTGTCTCTCCCTTCCCCGTGTTTCTTTTTATTATTATCTGCAGTCGTTAAGTTTTAATTCACCTCTGGATGGACAGCCACTCGCGACCCTTCTCCTGCTCCACACAAACGCCTCCCCCCCAGCCCCCCCTTGATTTTAGGGTTTTCTCAAGAGCTGCAGACACACGAGAAGCAGTTTTCTGCCGGTGGGTCCCTCCTGCTAAGGTGCTGCGTGTAATAGACTGCTCAAAGAAATAGTGTAGAATTAAATTACAAGTAATTTATTTTTATAGAAACAGTACATCAAGGCCTGGGAGATATTACAGATCCCAGGCAGAAAGACACGGGGAGATAACATAAAAGTTGATGTCCCCCTCAGCGAAAGTTTAATCTTTTCATTAATTTATAGGGGGAATGGCTATCCGTCTTGCCCGAGAAAGGTGGCCAGCGGGGAAGCCACTCTGGGCCCTGCCAGCCGCCTCCCCGTGCGG